AAATTTTTTTTTTTTTTTTTTTTTTTTTTTTTTTTCGTTTCCGAATTGCCTATCATTTGAGTTATGCAAAAATGTGTACCTCACTCAATTCGTTTGACCTTCATCGTCCATATTTTTAAATTTGTCAAAAGATCATTTCTCATGAATACGTTTTTTTTTACACATTTTGAACAATCCGTAAACGGAAAGTAACGCGGGAAATTAAAGGAATAAGAAGAAAAAATGGATGCAGATGACGATGTTCCAAAAAAGGGGTAAGTATGCAAAAAGGCAGTTCATGGTACACATGCGTGCGTGTCTATGCGAGGACGCATTCTGTGCTACATCGCAGAAGAAACAAACCGGTTTGTTTTTTCTATTGCGTTCATTTGTGTGAAAAAAGTTGGTATGCACACTTGCCAGTTTTTTTACACATTGCTTATTTTGCGCGTGCGCTCCGAGCGCAATTAGTACACTAGGGGTGAAAAATGCATGTTCCAGTGATCATCCAATGGAGTTGGAGAGAACAGGGTTGAAGAGAAAAAAATCCTACCAGACAAACGCGCTTAGATACGCACGCACAAAATAAGCAATGTGCACAGCCCCAGTTGTGCAACCTTTGTTGGGAGTAATATTCAGCAGTTTGTTTAACACACCTCGTCTCTGTTGCCTTTTTCTCTATCCTATTCTACTTATTTATGTGCTCAAAAATGATGCAGTGGTTCCTCACCCATCAGTGCTATCACATCAGCTTTGTCACCAACGCACAGCGCGATTTAGTTTTTCTCAGAATAGATTCACCCTGCAATGTTAGGGTGTGCTTCCCTTCGACGTGAGCAGAGAATACATGCGTGTACGCCTTACACTTTGTCACCCTCATTTCAGCAATGAACGGAATAAGAAGAAAGCCATATTTTCAAATGACGAGTTCTCGGGGGAAGACACTTTGATGGAGGTACGGTACCAGTGAACGGAGTCCGTTCATGACATAATTGTGTGAATTCTCGCAGCTTGATCGTTTCACAATTTTTTTTTTTCTTTTCTTTTTTTGAGCCAAAATATTTTCCTCCTTTTTTTTTTTTGTGCTGACCCACCTACCAGGAACACCTCCAACTGAGGGAAAAACTCTCAGAAGACATTGAGATGATAAAGTCCTCCCTCAAGAACAACCTTGTTTGTAGTACGTTGAACGACAATGAAATATTGACTCTGTCTAATTACATGCAGTTTTTTGTTTTCAAGGCTGGAGACCTGGTGATAAAGCAGGGGGAGAAAGGTACCGTCACAAGTGCATTGTGTGAATGCGTTTAAATGTATACCTTTGTTTTCCCTTCCATTTTTGTGCATGCTTTTCTTTTCTTCTGCTTAAACGTTCGACGCGACCTGCTTGATACCTCTCTCCACCCACACGTATACACCCCTTTTTTTCGCGCGAAGGATCCTACTTCTTCATTATAAACAGCGGCAAGTTCGATGTATATGTAAATGATAAGAAGGTGAAGAGCATGGGGAAGGGGAGTTCCTTCGGGGAAGCAGCCCTAATCCACAACACGCAGAGGAGCGCAACGATCATGGCTGAGACAGACGGGACACTGTGGGGTGTGCAAAGAAGTACATTCAGAGCAACACTAAAGCAATTGTCTAATCGAAATTTTAACGAAAACAGGAGCTTCATTGACTCTGTTTCTGTATTCGATATGCTAACCGAAGCGCAGAAGAATATGATCACCAATGCATGCGTTATTCAGACTTTCAAACCTGGAGAGACAATTGTGAAGCAGGGCGATTATGGTGATGTGTTATATATATTGAAGGAAGGTAAAGCCACAGTGTTTATTAACGATAAAGAAATAAGAGTACTTAACAAAGTAATATAACTGCGTGAGTTCCTGTCAAAGAGGGGGGGGGAGCGCGCCCACGCGCGCAATCGGGTGGTGCATACCTGCATGTGGACTGATGCGGGCGTGCGGTTAACGCTGGGGGGGGAGGGTCGTTCCCTCGGTCTCCACAACATTTAGTTTACATGGTTGCTCGCCTGGTCTATTTTTGTTTAGGGGTTTGATTCGACGATACGTATCGATGAACAGTTCCCCAAATGCCGAGTGCAAATTTGACTTTTTTTCCCCCCCTTTTTTTGTGGCCAATGTTTATTGGCAACCTCCTCAGGGGTCCTACTTCGGAGAACGAGCTTTGCTGTATGACGAACCGAGAAGTGCCACCATCATAGCGAAAGAACCCACGGCATGCGCATCTATATGCAGAAAGCTCTTAAACATAGTACTGGGTAATTTGCAAGTGGTTCTATTTCGTAACATCATGACGGAGGCGTTGCAACAGAGCGAAATATTTAAACAGTTCAGTGCAGAGCAGCTAAACGATTTAGCAGACACAGCAATTGTTAGAGATTACCCAGCGAATTATCACATTCTTCACAAGGATAAGGTGAAGTCGGTTAAGTACATCATCGTGTTGGAAGGCAAAGTAGAGCTATTTTTAGATGATGAATCTATAGGGATACTAACGAGGGGCAAATCCTTCGGAGATGAATACGTTTTGAATCAGAAGCAGAAATTTCGACACACCATAAAATCGTTGGACATTTGCAAAATTGCTCTTATCACAGAATCATGTTTGGCAGACTGTTTAGGAGATAACAACATAGATGCATCAATAGACCATAATAATAAAAAAAGCATTATTAAGAAGATGTATATTTTTCGGTACCTAAGTGAGAAGCAATGTAATTTACTTATTGAAGCATTTAGGACCACGAGATATGAAGAGGGGGATTATATTATTCAAGAAGGAGAAGTGGGTTCAAGGTTCTACATTATAAAGAATGGAGAAGTGGAAGTAACCAAAAATGGAAAAAGATTACGAACTTTAGGTAAAAATGATTACTTTGGAGAAAGGGCCCTTTTATATGATGAACCCAGAACTGCATCTATTATAAGTAAGGCAACCAATGTGGAGTGCTGGTTTGTGGATAAGAGTGTCTTTTTGCAAATAATTCAGGGGCCCATGTTAACTCACTTGGAGGAACGAATCAAGATGCAGGACACCAAGGTGGAGATGGACGAATTGGAAACTGAAAGAATTATAGGTAGAGGTACATTTGGAACCGTTAAGTTAGTGCACCACAAACCGACACAAATTAGATATGCTCTAAAGTGCGTTAGCAAAAGAAGTATCATTAATCTAAATCAACAAAACAATATCAAATTGGAAAGAGAAATCACTGCAGAAAATGACCACCCATTTATAATTAGACTTGTGAGGACATTTAAAGATTCAAAGTGTTTTTATTTTTTAACTGAGTTAGTCACTGGAGGGGAGCTATATGATGCTATTCGAAAATTAGGGTTACTCTCCAAACCTCAGGCACAGTTTTACTTGGGGTCCATAATACTAGCAATAGAATATTTACACGAGAGAAATATTGTGTATCGAGATTTGAAGCCAGAAAATATCCTCCTTGATAAACAGGGGTATGTAAAACTTATTGATTTTGGTTGTGCGAAGAAAATTCAGGGAAGGGCTTACACACTTGTTGGAACTCCTCATTACATGGCGCCAGAAGTTATTTTAGGGAAAGGATATGGGTGTACTGTGGATATATGGGCACTTGGAGTTTGTTTGTATGAATTTATTTGTGGCCCCCTTCCATTTGGTAATGACCAAGAGGATCAGCTGGAAATATTCAGGGACATCCTAACAGGGCACTTAACCTTCCCCGATTATGTATCTGATCAGGATAGCATAAATTTGATGAAGCGACTTTTGTGTCGGCTGCCTCAAGGACGAATTGGATGTTCTATAAATGGGTTTAAGGATATCAAGGAGCATGCCTTTTTTACTAACTTCAATTGGGATAAGTTGGCGGGGCGATTGCTCGAGCCCCCACTTGTGTCCAAGGGAGAGACATACGCGGAGGACATCGACATTAAGCAGATCGAGGAGGAGGAGAATGAGGACGATGATACGCTGACCGCGGGGGAGCCCCTCGATGGGGATGACAGCTGGGATGTGGACTTTTGAGCAGCTGCCCTGGTAACGGCGTGTAAGGGTGTGCAAAGCTGTGTTGGGGTGGTAGCGGTAGCGGAGGTTTTATAACCCCCCCTAAACCGGGAAGCCTGAGCAGCAGTTGTCTTCCATCCGATGGTGTGTGTCAAAATGGTGAGAAGACTTTTATAAACGGTTTGGAGGCGCTCTCTTTTTTTCCCTTTTTTGGACGCACCCGTGCGCGCGTATGTATGTATGTATTTGTGCATAAAAAGCAATCCCACATTTATGCAGCCCCTTTGCGTCTGGTCCCGTCCCGTCTCGTCTTTTTTTTTTTTTTTTTTTTTTTTTGTACTCATAACGAAGGGTATGCAACTTGGACCTTCAAACACATTCGGCATTTTTGTATTTTTATATTTATTTTTTTGTGCAGCGAGGTTGGCTGGGTGGCAAATTAGGGGGAAAAAAAAAAAAAAAAACGAAAAAAAAGGGTTACAATGGGGCGGGTAGGCAAATGCATGTTGGTCGGTTGTCCGCTCCCCTCATTGTTTGGCTCGCAAAATTGTCGCTTCAGCGAGAGATCACTACGGCGTGTAACCGGTCCACTTTAGAGGAGACCACGGAATGGTGCGGGGGCTGAGCACGCGTCTACGGCTGGTGGCTCCGCTGAATTGAAGTCAAAGTAGGTGACAAAGTCTTCGCTAGAGTGGGGCACTGTGTCCAGACAAATGCGCCCAAACAAACCCAAGCGGAACATGTCCACAAAATAGCGGCAGCCGCCATTCATATCGAGGTACTTATAATTTCTACACAGATTCAATTTCGTCGCTATTACATTTGAAACAAAGCGAATGTCATTGGTTGGTTCCTCCAAGCCAATCATTTTAACATAATTGAATTGCATCCTCTTATTTAGAATATACAAAATGTAGTCTCCTACATACATATGGTCGTACTTGTACTCGAGGGCATTTCCTATGGCACATAACTTGAGGCTAATTTCTTTGTCTTCCATTTTGGGTAAATAAATTCCAGGCGTGTCTATACAGTAGAGCAGGGGGTTGTTTGAAACCTTATACGTGTCAACCATCTGAGTAGTCCCTGCAATGACATTCGTCTTGGCCCTTTTCCTATTCACCTCGAAAGCTATTTTATTATTCTTGTGTCCATATTTGGCTAAGTTATGTGTCACATCTTTAAACGAGTTGATGATGCTCGATTTTCCCACGTTGGGTAATCCCACTAGTAAGGCAAACAATCCGAGGCTCCTAAATTGGGGCTTCATTTCTCTACACAGGTCTCTAATTTTCGAAATACTTTTATTAAATTTGGCTGATGTTAATATGCACATGTGTTTCGTTTTTTCTTCAATTATATTTTTTGCACTTAGGGCAACTTTGGGGGGTATTAAATCTGCCTTGTTAAGTATAATGATTCGTTTTTTATTTTTGTTTTTTTTTTCTATGCTCTCCATGATGAAGTCGTTTGTGCTGGTAAAGGGAAGCCGGGCATCCCTAACCTCAATGATCAAATCGCATATGTCTATTTTTTTTTTTATGTTTAGAGATGACTTGTGCATGTAGTTTGGGAAGCACGTTATGTTTGCATCGAATATGAATTCCTCCCTACATGCGAAATTGGGAAATTTGCGGCTCACCCTTTTTTCTCCTCCCTCCACGGGGGAAACACTACTACCACTACTGATGCTACTACTGCCATTACCACCGGGGGGATTGCCGCGGTTGATCACCCCGCTGGGGTGGAGGCCCATTGGTTTGTTCTTGTCCCCATTCTTTGCACGCTCTAAGCTGCTTCTTAGAAACACATCATCCAGCGTCGGCCCCAGTTCCTTTTTCCACACACTGATGGATGAGCTGCCCTTATCATTTCCGCCTCCCTTCCCCATATGCGTAAACTATTCCAGGGGAGGCATAACAATAATCCTGAAGTTATCCCTGAGTGGGGAGAGTTGCCACTTCTCCTTATGTGGCCTTTCTTAAAAAAACGACTATCATATATTCTGCCCACGGGGAGCTATCTCCCTTTTTTTTTATTTTTTTATCTTTCCTCTATGCCCCTGTTCAAACTTCTCTTCACAAGCGTCTGTTCCCCCCCGTTTGCACATCCATTTTAATCTCCAGGGAGAAGTACACGTAATAACGTTCGTTGTGTAGGGAGGGAAACCCGGGGTGGGTTGTTATTTTCACGTTTGCTAAATATAGAAAAAAGGTTCGCTTTACAAAAAAAAAAAAAAAAAAAAAAAAGGCTACACATGAGCAAAATAAACGCAAAGAAAAACAATAACACGCGTAACAAACACGATGCACAAATTTGAACTCGATAGAGTTTTGCCAAAGTGTGCTTTTTCGAAGAAGAGTAATTTGACGAGCATACCGTTATGGCGCGAACGGCCGGTAAAGGGTACGGGGAAAACTCAACGGCGCACCTACACACCTGTTATACACAAATCATATTTTTTTCTATTTTGTGAACGCGTTGGTGATGAAACGGTGTGGTCACTCCGGACCAGGTTTTCCCATCAACCTCCCTCTGCTTCTGCCCTTTTCCGCATATTTTCTCTCCTTGAAATTTGTCCATTCGTTCACGAATACAAGAACACACATAAGTGACGTAGTGCATGAGGTGACGCACATTTTGTATGTTGATTGGATCATGCTGCAGATCCTGGTCGCTACACAGGGGTACTGCATTGGGGGTAATTGCCCCGAGCATAGGTTTCCCACCTGAGTTGTTGATTTTGCTAAGCCCAGGAGGCGCAGTGATGAGGTGGCCAAGAGGTATGCCGTCCTCACTATTGCTGCAGAGTTGAAAGGCGCGCTCCACAGAGTCCACGTACGCGTCCATGTGACTCACGATGTTACGCCCGTACACCAGCGCAAGCTCGAACTGTTTGCGGCGGAGGGGACGGCGTTCCTCTTCATCATCATAGCGATCTCCATCACAATCATCTTTGACTCCCTCTTCTTCCATCCCCCCCCGGGTACTCACAATTACAAAATGCAAATGTGTACAAATGTGCTGTATGAGGTCGAGCACGGCCGCCGCGCCTCCACACCTAAGGTGCCCATAACCCGATAAGTGCTCCCTGTGGAAGGAGTAAAGGAGCAAGTTTAGCAAAAATTTCTGGCAAATGTTTAAGAGGATAGTACAAGTGCTGATGTCCCCCATGTCCTGTTCCCTCTTTAGGTAATACCTTTCCTTGAGGTAGCTGAAAATTTTCTCCATTTTTTGTTCATACTGTGACCTAACTGCAGGTATCCATTTTGCATTCTCACCGTTGGCGATACGCGCGTCGTGCAACCACTTTTCCCTGCTTACATGGATGGAGTACTGTGGGGACATGCACATGCCGCTATGCACAAAGCGCTTATAGAGTGAATGGTACACCTGGGCCAAATTAAACGTTAAGTACTTTTCCTCCACTAAGTGAGAAAAACAGACCTCTAAAAAAGCAATTTGCTTGGGCGAAATTATTGGACATGTGTTATACATGAGGGTAATTAGGTTGTTCATTTTTATGTAGTATATTTTTTTTTCTAAAATGAGAATAATTTTTTCATTCACTTGATTCATGAGGGAAATATTCCCCCCGTGCGGATCTCCATCGTACAGGACTGCCCCCTCATGATAATCTTCCGCTTCACATATTTGCTCAAATGAGTGAAAAGGATTGGTGTCCACTTCTTGTCCCCTTTTTGTGTGCCCATTTTGGGTGTAATTCGTTTGGGCCTCTCCCTCTGGGGTTGTTATGCGGCTTAAACAATGCTCCTCCTGTATAGCCTTTCCCTTGCGCCCCCACATGGTCTTCCTTAACTCCTTCTTCAATAATCTGTTTATGTAGACGTACAAGTAGAACACATGCTTGAGGTTCATATTGTGCAAATCGGCTTCAAGTAAAATGTGCATGAGGGTGGAAAAGTCTTCATCCTGTTCCGCTGCCTGATGCAACTCCTCCCCCTTCGCTAGCTTCCCTTGTAGCTTCCTTCTCATCCCCTCCTTTTTAACAAAGCTGCCCAACACGTGGTTCAGCTCCGCCTGTTCATATAATTCCACGTGCTCAATTATACGCTCAAATAAAAATCTCTGCATGTCCCTGTCGCCTGTCTTTAGAATAAACTTAAAGCAGGAGGGGGGTACTTTCCCATAGTTGACCACTTGCCTGTTCAGCACGTTTTTCAAAATGGTCCTGTCCAAATGGGTCAGGTGCTTCTTCCGCTTGAACAGGACTTGGCACAGCTCGCTGGGGCAGAGAAATTGGTGGGACGTTGGTGCGGCGGCCGTTGTTACAGCTGCTTCATCCCTCCGCTGCACAAACCCCGCTGGTGTGTACGCCGCTTCGCTCCCCTCCTGTACGTGCTTGTCCACCATCTTCAACAAATTATAAAAATAACCCTGTAGATAATTTTCTACCCGTAGGAACCTCTTTGACAATGAATGAAAACTGCTCATACAACTGAGGAGGTGAAATTTATTTATGGAAGTCAGTGTCTTCAGCTGGGGTTGAAAAAAATGGCACATCTGTATAATGAGCTCCTTATCCACCATATTGACTTTGTATAAGAGGTAGGCCCAAGAAAGGACGTTATCGGCTCTGGTACGTCCATTCGCTGGACAACCCCGAGGCATACCCCTCAATGTCCTTTTGAGTAGAACCAGCACTGTGCTGGTCATCCCAAATTTTCTTTTCTCCTCTACCTTCACGTTACTTTCTATTAGCAGCTTAAATATAATCATTGTGTGTTTGAGCCATATGTATTGCAGGTGGTCCAAATTGACAATCGTATTCATTCGGCTGTTTGAATTGTCTGTAAGGTATTTACTCGGCTGTTCTTTTTTTCTTAAATCTGATTTGTCCTTATGTTGTGTTAGCTGAAGCATGGAACGGTCTCCACCCTTGTCCACACTTCTCCCATTCGCACACTCACCTGTATCATTTACTCTTTGTGTTTTCCCTTCCTCCATTTTTTCTCCATTGTGTAGTTTTTCTTCCTGGTACACGATGGGGTGACATTTTTTTTTCTCTCTATGAAATGCCCGGACATATTCCTTTAGCAAATCCACTGCTATCTTATTGTAGCATCTCCATTTTGAAGTGGCCTTGGCATTTGAGTCATCTGGGGTGTGGATACGATCTGAAGAATGATGTTCACCCCTGTTTCTGCCATACACTATGCGATTTAAAAGGTCGTTTACCCTAGTATGTATTTCTTTCTCAACGTTGATGTGCGCCCACTTCTTGGCACATGAGCGCTCGTTGAGAATTTTTCCAATCACCATGGCGGCTTTATTTTGTAGTCTTCCAGCCTGATGAACACGACTTACAACCCTGCGCGATTTTAACTTCCGGTGGGGTAAGGTTAACATAACGTGTTACGAATATTTTCCATTTTTTTTTTTTTTTTTTTTTTTTTTTTCACCACCTTGTGAGGGGCCTACCTAAAAATGCGCACAGCAATGTGGAAGAATGCACTATGATATGGGGTTCATTTTTTTTTTTTTTTTTCCTGCTAACCCCTTGAATGTTGTTAAAAATAGGTCAACCCTAGGAACATCATTTTGGGGAACACCTTGTCCCTTTTCCAATTGGACCCCTTGGGACGTACTCACAAGAGAACAACGTCGACAGGCAACTGCTACTCTATATAAACACATTGGGGTGCGGTGTGTTACAATTTACAATACCCATCAGTTGTGCATATTGAGGAGAAGCGGGTTTTTTTTTTTTTACTCTCTACCCCAAATTAGTTTTCATGCTCCCATAGGGAACACTTAAAACCCGCGGGTCGGAGAGTCGATGAATAAGGTCATCATCACCGTCCCATTCCATTTTTCGAACTGGTGTGTCTGTCTCGCACCTTGTAAAAACCATATGGCGAAAAATGTGCCAAAAAAGAAAGAAGCAAGTTGGATTAAAAACTTCAAATATTAAAATGTTAAAATGTTAAAATATCAAATTTAATTAAAAAAAATTAAAAAAAAAAAAAAAAATAATAATAATAAATAAATATTTTTTTATTTTTATAACTTCATTGCATTCTTTTACCCTTACATGAACAGCGCAATTATATAGAGAGGAATAAATATAAGGGCATTTTTTTCTATAAACTTTTTCCTTTTTTTTCAACATAAAATCAAATGGATACATAATCATATATATATATAAACATACACACGTGTACCAATATATATACAATTATATTTACGTACTAAATTGGAAAGCTGAAGCAAAAAAAAAAATATATATATATATATATAAAAATATAAAAAAAAATTGGAAAAATGGGGGGAAAAAAATACGTAAAATCACATATTATTAAAAGGAGGAGGAAAAAAAAAAAAAGAAGAAATATATATATACATAAGTCGTATAGACGCTGCAAACGATGTGGATGCAAGTCGTTCCGCAACTACACACTGGGCAGAAGTGAAAAATGAAAAATGAAAACTCAAATCTGTCAACAGGGGGGGGGGTGAAATAAAATAGAATAAAATAAAATCTTCGTCAAATTAATTGAAGGAAATTTATATCATAAGAGAAATGTTTAATTTGTACATGCGAATGTGGAAACGCAAAGAGGAGAGGGGAGAGAAGAAGAACAAAGAATTAGCTAGCTGGATAGTTGGCTAGTTATCCCAGCTAGCGCTTCAAGAGAGGGAAGTATTTGGCGGGTGTGCAAATCAACAGATAAAAAAAAGGCTCGTAAATATGATGGGGAGGAATGCGCCTTAGGGTTGTGTCATATCGTGTTGTTTCGCGCTGTATCGATCATTCCTTTATAAGACTTGCGAAGTTAGGCTTTGAACCGTGTGCACGCCACACAGCGCCTGGCACCGTCGTACCATCACACATACATGATATCATGGGTGCCACACCACCTGCTCAGTCATCGTCCTCGGGGTTGTCTTCCTCCTCCTCGTTCAGGATGTCCTCGTTGGGCTCTCCGTCCTCATTTTCATTGGATCCGACAACGTTCTGTCCATCGAAGGTGACATATCCCGCGGGGTTACTATTTCCGCTGGAGGAAGAGAATTGTCCTCCTCCGTTCATACCGGAATAATCACCACCCATGCCTGCACCAGAACCGCTGCTACTCAGGACGTCACCTCCATCGCCATTAAATTGTTTGACCATGTTGTCGAGTTGGTCCTTGGAAAACGTTTTAACTGTTCCATTGCTGCTGTTCATGAAGCCACTTTTTTTAAAATATTCTGAATAGTCCACTTCGTTATTATTATTATTTTGCGTTTCTTGTTTTTTCTGTAATTTCTTTTCCTGTGCTCTTCTTTTCTTTAATATTTTAAATGCTTCCCTTCTTCTGTACTCACTTAATTTTTTCATGTACTTATCGTAGTACTTGGATTTGTATGTGGCCCCGTGTATTGAGTTTCCTTTCCCCCTTGCACTTCCATTGGAGCTGTCATTGTCGTCGGTGATGCCATGGCTGCGTTTGAGGAAATCTATTAACTCTTTCTTCTTGTCATACACAGATGTGAACACATAATTTTCTCCAACCAGTTGAGGTGCATCATGGTAATAGTTGGAAGGAATACCTTCATAGGAGTTTTTAATTTGTTTGTATGCATCATAGAAACTATCATCCTCTTGTTCCTCCTCTTTCTTTTCTGCCTTTTTCTGCTTCAAGTAATCGATCGCTTTGGAGTCGTAACTCATATGGTAGGATCCATTTTTTCTTAAAAATGCATTAAGTTGTTCGTTGGATACACCAGAAGTTTCATTTAATGAAAGATCCTTCTCTTCATTTGCATAAGGAGACAATTCGTAAAACATATCATCTGGTTTAGCTAACTTTTGTAATTCTTCCTCGGTCAAATCTTCATATGTTAAAATACCTTCCGAGATGAGCTTTTTAATATCTTTAACGCTGAATTCGTTCATGCTCAATTCTGCGTCCTCATCAGAACTTGATCCCTTTCCATTTTGTTCATCCTCTGTATCATCATCCCCCGCATCATCATCATTGCCATCGTCTGTATTATTTTCATTATTCATGGAGACGTATTTTTTTATAATTTCTTCCATAACTTTCTGGTTTGGAGTGTTAGAATATTCCTTTAGTAGCTTTTGCAAGGTGTCCATGTTGACTGGAATTTGTCCTGGGTTTCTCTTCTTTGTCATTTTTTTTTTCTTTCCTCGCTTAGGTTTATTCGTCACTGGCTTTTTATTTCCTCCATTTGTTTTGTCTCCTCCATTGTCCTGTCCATACGTGGAGCCACTCATACCATTCTTCAAATTGTTCATGTCCAAAAAGGTATTATTATTATTCTGCCCCTTGGTGGTTGCCTTGTTGTTTGATTCCCCTTTACTACCTCCAGAGGATGTAATTAATTCTTCCTTATTGAATTCTACCTCATTCGTGTTTGCGCTGTCTTCACTACTACTATCACTTGGCGGAGCAGGGATGGACTCTGTATTCGATTCATTTGACTCTTCTGAATCATCTTTTGTAGATTCTGCATCAGACACATTACTGCTAACGTCTGTTCCGCTCACATCCACTGCATTATCTTTCTTAGCGGAGTCATTAGCACCATCATCTGTAACTCCATGTTCATCATTCAGACCATACAGTCGAAACATTCCTTCATCCTCACCATCACCATGGTCAAATGCATTTAATTTGTCAGCAAAATTCTTGTCGCTACTACTCGAGTTCGTTACGTAAGCCGTTCCTCCCTTAGTGTTACCTTGAGCATCTTGGTCATTTACACCTGGTGGGGTCATGAGACCACCTAATCCAAGATCCTTCATATTCATTTTCCCTCCACTCAGCTGGTTAAACATATCAGTCATTTGGCTAGGATCCATGTTCAACATATTTCCATCCTTTCCTCCCATCATGTTCTGCATCATCGCTGGGTTCATGGGTAGGTTTGCCATCAAATCCTTAACAGCATCTTTATTCTGCATAAGATTTTCATTTTCCATAGTTTTCTTCAGCTGCTCTACATCTATACCTGATTTCTTTAACACATTTTCTAATTTGTCTTTGAGTTCATTTATTTTGTTCAACTGTTCTGGGGACACAGGGTTGTTTGTTCCGTTGGCACCATTTTGTCCGTTCGTAAGTGCTGCTATCTGTGAATTAATTGCACTGATCATATCTTTAAATAAATTGTCTTGTCCATTGTTAGCACCATCACTTGGATTACCTCCCATGAGGGAATTATAAAAGTCATGAAACATTTCACTGTTCATAATATTGTCTACGTTTAATGCTTCTCCATTTCCGCCAAACATATCGTTCAATGGTTTCATCATTTCTTCTAAACTAGGGTTCATTCCTGGGGTCACTGGTCCTCCAGGTGTACCTGCGGGTGTGTGTCCCGCGGCACCAGACGTACCCGTGGCACCCTTCTTGCCATTCGCATTTCCATTTGGTGTACCGGGCGCCCCATTCGTTGCATGGTGTGAACCGCCTTTGCTGCTTCCGTTGTCCGCTGCGTTTGCCTTATCATTGTTGCTTGACTTATGACTGGTGGGCTTGATGTTCAAATTGCGGTTGATGTTTGCGCCAAACACGTAGGAGTAGTGCAGGGAGGTCGACAGGAAGATGAATCCTAAAGTGATAAGTCTCATGTTGGCTAGGTTGTGTGTTTACGTGTGTTTATGCTTGTGTGTGTGCGTGTGTGTGTATGTGGATGGTGGTGGTGTCGAGTCGCGGTTGGCCAAAGTACGCAATACAACGCGGATTCTTCTCTCGTGGGCGTTTTTTACGCGGCGGATGGGGCGTGTTACACACTCGATGCATGCACTTGCAACATACAATCACATGTGGCAAGTGTCCCTTCAAAGTGGCACGCGGCGACAAACAAGTAGTATACAACCCTGCGCACTGTACACTCTATAGAGGCGCATAAAAAAGTGTGCTACATAAATGTATTCTACATATGGGTACAATACATATATATGTATAGGAAGGGAGCAGAGACCAAAATGACGAGCCAAATGTTCTGTGCTCGCAAAGCCACTTCTTGGTTGTGTGTTTCGTTTAAAAAGTAAACGTAAATTCAACAACTCACCCCTGTTCATAAAACTTAATGTAGAACGTTTATAAAAAAAAAAAAAAAAAGCACTAATCACATAAAATCTAAGAAAAATTAAATCGAAAATGAATAGGGATTAAAATAAATATGAACAAAACAGGCAAAATTCAAAAAAAAAAAAAAAAAAAA